TTTAGTAGAGGTGGGGTTTTGCCATGTTGGCCAGGCTGGTCTTGAACTCCTGACCTCGGATGATCCGCCCGCCTCAGACTCCCAAAGTGCTGGGATTACAGGTGTGAGCCACCGCGCCCGGCCTATTTTTTATTTGTATTTTTTATCAACAGCTCAGGAGCATCAAACAAGCTACAGACCGACCAGCCTGGGCATTCCTTCCCTGGCATGAGAGGGCTGAGGTCAAGTTTCACAGCCGTCACTTCTGTATTTGAGTGATGTCCACACAGTACACTCCAGTTTTTCCTATCAAGCTCATATTTCCTTTGTGAATCTTTTCCAATTGATCTTGGACCCCGCAGCCAGAATGAGGACACTGACATCTAATTTAGCTATGACCACTGGGGCACCAGTTGGTTACTCTCAGAAACAGCAAGATACTCCCCTGGTTTCCAGATGGAGAGGAAGAACAAAAAATGTGGACCTCTTTACGGCCCCAAGTCAGAGACGTCTATTCACTGAGCCCGCTGCCTTAGATTCATGGGGAGGTTATACCTGAAGCTGGGCAAGCATCAGGATCTCATGTATAGTGATATCTTTATGCACTCTACAAAACATAACAGACTGACAGGTGGAAATTCCATCATTGTATGTAATGGAGGAGAATGAATAGCAACAAACCTCCTAACCACTTTAAAAAATATATATGTATTCATTGATAAAACAATTTTATTGAGAAATAATTCACATACAAAATTCATCCATTAAAAGTATACAATTTAGGCCAAGCGTGGTGGCTCATGCCTTAGCACTTTGGGAGACTGAGGCGGGCAGATCACCTGAGGTCAGGAGTTTGAGACCACCCTGGACAACATTGGGAAAGCCCATCTCTATTAAAAATACAAAAAATAGCCAGTCATGGTGGTGGGCGCCTGTAATCCCAGACACTTGGGAGGCTGAAGCAGGAGAATTGCTTGAAACCAGGAGGTGGAGGTTGCAGTGAGCCGAGGTTGCACCACTGCCCTCCAGCCTGGGCGACAGAATGAGACTCTGTCTCAAAATACATAAGTAAATATAAATTAAATAAATAAAAATAAAAGTGTACAATTTAATGGTTTTTAATATGTCTACAGAATTGTACCATTCCCATTAATTTAAGAACAATTCATTGTCCCACAAAGAAACCCCATACCCATTAGCCGTCACTCCCCATTTCCTTCTCCCCACCTAGTCTCCTGGCAAACACTCCTCTACCTTCTGTTTCTATGGATTTGCCTATTCTGTACATTTCACATACAATCATACATGGAATTACACAACATGTGGCCTTTTGTGTCTGGTTTCTTTCTGATGCTTTCGAAGTTCATCGCGTCGTAGCATGGATCAGTCCTTCGTTCCTGTTTATTGCACAGTAATATTCCATCATATGAATATGCCCCATTTTGTGTATTCATTCATCAGCTGAACGCGTTTCAATTGTATCCACTTTTGGACTGTTATGAATAACGCTGCCGTGAACATTTGCATATAAGTTTTTGTGTGGACAGATGTTTTAATTTCTCGAGTATATGCCCAGGAATGGAATTGCTAGGTAGTTTGATAATTCTGTTTAACCTTCTGAGGAACCGCCGGGCTGTTTCTTTTTTTTTTTTGGCTGGAGTGCAGTGGCGCGAACTCGGCTCACTACAAGCTCCGCCTCCCGGGTTTACGCCATTCTCCTGCCTCAGCCTCCGGAGTAGCTGGGACTACAGACGCCCGCCACCTCGCCCGGCTAGTTTTTTGTACTTTTAGTAGAGACGGGGTTTCACCATGTTAGCCAGGATGGTCTCGATCTCCTGACCTTGTGATCCGCCCGTCTCGGCCTCCCAAAGTGCTGGGATTACAGGCGTGAGCCACCGTGCCGGGCTCTGCCGGGCTGTTTCTAAAACAGCTGCAAGACTTTACATTTCCCCCAGCAGTGCATGAAGCGTCCAATTTCTCTCCATTGTTGCCAACACTTGTTCACATCTGTCTCTATAACCACCCTATGGGTGTGCAGTGGTATCTCATTGATTTTCACTTCCCTGATGACTAAGAACGTTGAGCAGCTCTTCATATGCTTATTGGCCATTTGTATGTCTTCTTCTGAGAAGTGTCTATTCAGATCCTTTGCCCACTTTAAAATGGGATGGCTTGTCATTTTATTTATTATTGAGTATTATTGAGCAGCCCCACCTGGGAGGGCAGGGCTCTTCTTCCTCTATCATTCTGTTATGAAGTGTTGCAGTAAACATCCTTGAACGTGTCTCCCTGTGCACGTGTGAGTTCAAGGGTAGAAGCTGAGAAGTGACATTGTCCCATGTTGAATGGGTGGGGTACGTTATGTGCATTTCACATTTTAGTAGATGCTGTCACGGTGCCCTACAAGGCGACTGAACCAACTCATATTTCCCCTGCAGTGGGAGAGAATCTGTCTCCCCAGTTTCACCAGTCAGTTCTCTCTCTCTAGGGCTGGACAGTGCGGCTACCTTGTTCACAAAAGGTGGGTGATTCAGTGAGAGGCAGGACAGCACAGTGGGGTCACATGCCCTAGGTCGGCCGCCGGCTGCCTGTGTGAGCTGAGGAAGCCATTGCCCTCTCTGAGCCACAGTTTTCCCATCTGGATGATGGAGATCATAAGTTTTCTCCTTTGCCAGCCTCTTGTGTGGGTGAAATGAGCCTGTGTGTGCCAAGACCTCACCATAGGGGCTGGCCCAGGACCGCTGCACAGCACGTGGACTCCCGCCTATTTGCGGTCTGCGGGTCCCTCAGATGCCTTCTTTTCCAGATCAGGCCAAGGAGGGGTGAGGACTAGGCTGATTTTTAAAATCTTGCCCAAATTCCTTTCTAGGGGGTCTGGGAAGTCATGCCCTACAAACCATAAATTCTCATCAGATGGGTTTTATTTAACTCTGTATATCGTGACTTACTTTCCAATCTGACTCTGGCGTAACAAGAGAAAATGTCAACATGTTTCACTCCAAAATCTACTTCCTTGCCATACCTTGGAACCGCCCTGCCAAGTCTCTTGTGGGAAAAATCCACATTCTACAGAGAGTCCCCTTCCCCTTTGTTTTCCTTCCTTCCTTTCCAGATTCAGGAGATAATCAGCTAAGAGCCAGGCACCCTTTTAAGTCCAATAAGAAACATTTTACAACCTGCTCTCTCCGAAGTCTGCTGTCTGAGAGCTTCCTCTGCGCAATAAAGCTTGATCTCCGCAATCCTTTATCTTAACCTCAACATTTCCTTTCTATTAATCCCAGGTCTTCAGATAAACTCAACCAATTGTCAACCAGAAAATGTTTAAATTTACCTATAGCCTGGAAGCTCCACACCATGCACAGCCCCCCCTACCCGCCCCCTAGCCCGCTTTGAGTTGTCCCGCCTTTCTGAACAAAACCTGTGTATTTCTTAAATGTATTTGATTGATGTCTCATGCCTCCCAAAAGTATATAAAACCAAGCTGTACCCTGACCACCTGGAGCACATGTTCTCAGGACCTCCTGAGGGCTGTGTCACGGGCCACAGTCACTTATATTTGGCTCAGAACAAATCTGTTGGCCGGGCACAGTGGCTCACACCTGTAACCCCAGCACTTTGGGAGGCCAAGGTGGGCGGATCATGAGGTCTGGAGATTGAGACCATCCTGGCCAACATGGTGAAACCCCGTCTGTCCTAAAAATACAAAAATTAGCTGGGTGTGGTGGCGGGTGCCTGTAGTCCCAGCTACTCGGGAGGCTGAGGCAGGAGAATTGCTTGAACCTGGGAGGTTGCAGCTAACCGAGATCGCACCACTGCACTCCAGCCTGGGCGACAGAGCCTTAAAAAAAAAAAAAAAAAAAACTTAAAATATTTTACAAAGTTTGACTCTTTTCGTCAACAGGGAGTAGCCCAGTTCCTCCCCTTTTAACTTCTGTCAAGCACAGTGATTAACGTGGCAATCAAACCAGAGCTTTCACCACGGGATCACTGCCTGGAAGAAATAAGACTAAATGGAAGTAAGCACATGGATTAAAACTGAAAATGGGCCAGGCATGGCGCCTCATGCCTATAATTCCAGCGCTTTGGGAGGCTGAGGCAAGAGGTTCACTTGAGCCCAGGACTGCCCAGAGACCAGCCTGGGCAACACGGCGAAACCCCGTTTCTTCAAAAAATACAAAAATTAGCCAGGCGTGGTGGTGCATGCCTGTAGTCCCAGCTACTTGGGAGGCTGAGGTGGGAGGATGGATTGAGCCGGGGAGGTCGAGGCAGCAGTGAGCCGAGATCATACCACTGTACTCTAGCCTAGGTGACAGAGCAAGACCCTGTCTCAAAGAAAAAAAACAAAAACTGAAAACGGAGCTCTTCTATACATATGTAATTTTTTAGGTGTTTATTTTATTTTATTTTTTTGAGACAGAGTCTTGCTGTGTCGACCAGGCTGGAGTGCAGTGGTGGGATCTCAGCTCACTGCAACCTCCGCCTCCTGGGTTCAAGCAATTCTCCTGCCTTAGCCTCCTGAGTAGCTGGGACTACAGGCATGAGCCACCACGCCCAGCTAATTTTTGTATTTTTAGTAGAGACGGTGTTTCACCATATTAGCCAGGCTGGTCTCGAACTCCTGACCTTGTGATTTACCCGCCTCGGCCTCCCAAAGTGCTGGGATTATAGGCGTGAGCCACCGCGCCCGGCCAAGGTAGGTGTTTTAAAAGCTGCATTTGTTGAGTGCTTCTGGAGCCAGGCACTGTGCTGAGATCTTTATCGGCATCACCACTCCTTATCCCACAGCAAGCCTGTGAGGCGGCTACGGTTTCTAGCCTCAAGTTGGTTGTGAGAAGAGAGACTCTGTGGGTTGGGACTCCAAGGACACACCACGCGCTGGTGCTGGAACCACCACTTGTCCCAGGTCTGACTCCAGAGACCCGGCCTGCACTCCACTTTACCACCACTGTGGGCTTCACCTGTCCTGTGTCCCCAGACCCCTACATGAGGCCAACTTCCAGCCGCCTCACCTTCAGGACGCATGAGACTGTACCCAGCACGCTTTATTGGCTTTTTAGGGGAGTTTGCAGAGGTTGGGGGGCTGGGGGCAGGGGATTAACTCTTTCCCTGGGGCGGCGCTCCTGGCTCTGAACCCATCAGGGGATTTTCTTGGGCAGGGGATTAATGATGCCGCTCTCGATGTATTCAAAGACGGTGTATGGGTCCTGGTCTCCGTTGAGGGTGATGGCCGACCCATAGAGCTGCTCCAAGTCGGCCGAGTTCCTGTAGAACAGGTCCATTTTCAGCTTGACCTGCTCTTCAGCATCCTTCGGGTTCTGCAGGAGGCGAGCCTGGATCTCCATGGTGGGAGGTGGCTTGTACATGAGGTGGTACCTGCAAGGGAGGAAGGAAAGCAGGTGACCCACGGCCTGGCCCAGAAGCAGGGGAGAAGGGGACCCTCTACTCTATTGTGGACCAATTTGGGGTGTCCTGGCCACCACCACCATCGCCAAACATTTGCTGCTGTGGACCGCTGTGTGCACACCTTTGACTGATGGGCGCTGGAGCTACAGAGATACCCATGATGTGCTCTCCGCTCAAGGGAGAGGGAGAGAGATCAGTGATAGAAGGACAGAATACAATCATACATGGGCAAATTCTTTCCTTCCTCCCTCCCTCTCTCCCTCCTTCCCTCCTTCCTTCCTCTTTCCCTCCCTACTCTCCCTTTCTTCCCTCCCTCCCTTCCTCCCTTTCTCTTCTTCCTTTTCCTTTTCTTTTTTGAGACAGGGTCTCACTCTCTCGCCCAGGCTGGAGTGCAGTGGCATGATCTTGGCTCACCACAACCTCTGCCTCCCAGGCCTGCACCACTACTGTCCAGCTAATTTTTGTATTTTTAGTAGAGAAGGGGTTTCACCATGTTGGCCGAGCTGGTCTCGAACTCCCGACCTCAGGTGATCCACCCGCCTTGGCCTCCCAAAGTGCTGGGATTACAGGCGTGAGCCACCGTGCCCAGCCTCTTCTTCCTTTTTCCTCCCTTCTATTCAATGTTTATCTGCACTGAGTCCAGCGTTAAATCTGCCGCTGACAGTGCTATGGTAAGCAGGACAGGCACTGGCTCTGCCTACCGAGCTCACAGTTAGCTGAGGGAGTGGGACATTACAGCACCTGTGGAGATGGAAGGAAGTGCCACAGCCGTTCACTGTTGGGAGAGACTCCAGGGACAAGGTGACATGAAGGCCACAGTACTTGAGATGGGAAAGCTACAAACTCCCATGACAAATCAGGTCTACGTTTTAGAAAAATCCCTGCACTTCCTTCCTGCCCCGCCCCACCCCACTCCTGCGTCCCTACCAAGAAATGGGACCCTGATTGTCAGGAGAGATGGCAACACCTGCCTCTGAGTGACTGTGAGGTTTTCCATTGCATTTCAACATGAGTGCAGTGCTTGTACTTGGTCAGACTGCAGAATCAAACTCGGAATTTACCTCCTGTAACTATGGGAAGCCTCAAAGGAAACTTGTGCCCGTGGGGATGTGTTTGTACAGCAACCACCGCCGGGATGCATCGTGGTTGAGGAAAGGCCAGTGAGGAAACGCACAGGTGACGCCCATCCCAGGCTGCTGTTTCACATGCCGAGATTAAGCTGTTGACCCCAGGATAGAGTGGGTGAACATTTCACCATTGTGTTGCTTTAGATACACATTTTCTGGTTATTCTTCCAGGCAAAGAGGGTCAACAGATATTGCACAGAACAACCAGTTGGATAAAGTCCATTTTGATAATCGTCCTTCAGTGGTCACCAGTGTTATCCCTGCAATGGTTCCACCATGGCATTGGTCAGGCAGTTGGGTCTGGCCCCTGGCAGCCCCCAGATTGCCAATCGCCAGGAACACAGCACAAACCTCTCCCCAGTGACTGGATCAATTCTTCTCAGAGTCAGCCGCTCCATGATGGAATCAAATGGCACATTCAGGAAAAATACCCTATAAGGAAATAAACCATATTAATAATGGTTTTTATTTCCTGTATTTTATGATGCTTTGACATCCCGGGTCTTGCGAATCCTGGAGAGACTGCTTCTCCCAGGGCTGGCTAACTCCTAGAGCCAGCAAGCAATGCGCCTGCAAAACTGCCTGTCATGTACAACCCAACCACTCCAGAGCCTGTGTCCCCAACCGCTTCCTTCATCTGACTCTCATACCCCAAACCAATATTTTTCCTGCCCTAAATCACCACAGGGCTGGGTGCCAAGCATCCCTATAGACCAGAGCCTGTCAAAATTATTCCAACTGCCCAATCCTATGCTTGCTGTGACTTGTCTGCCTTCTGGGACACGCTATCCCCTCACTCCTGCTGCCTCCTGACCGACTGTGGTGCCTCCCCAGGTGGTCCTGCATGGTGTGGCGTGCCCCCCTTTTCTTGGGAGCTGTGAGTAATAAACTCTTCTTTCAGTGACATTGACTTCTCTGTATCATCACCTGGTTACCTCTATACATTAGATTTTGGGTGCAATTAAGACAAGAACAAGCAGATGGTCATAGGGAGCAAACCCCAGGCTGGACTCTCGTCACCCCAGACGAGCGTGGGCATCATTTCCACATGTGGGTGGAGCCACTGGAGCCACTGCTCAGGGCTCTGGGATACCACATTTGGAGGTCACCAGGGCCAGATGCGGGACAGGAGGGCCCCCTGTAAGGATACTCTCAGCTCCCCTGGTTCAGGGACAGCTCTCAGCCCCCATCGCTCCTGGGGGTGGGACTCCCAGGGATGGGGATCATTGTTTGGGTGAGCTTTGGGGGAACCTCTTGTTCTCCAGAGCCACACAGTCTAGTCACAGAGAGGCTAGACTGTCACCTCCACTATGGACTTGCTGTGTGAGCTTGGACTACGGACCCAGCCTCTGTCAGACCCAGTTACCCCAACTCTAAAATGGGGCTAATTATAGTTCCCTAGTGTTGAAGATTTAACGCGATAAAGTGTGTGACAAGCTCAGTGTGAGGTCTGCACAGACTCGGTACCCCAACGTGGCAGCTCTTATAATTTAATCACCGTTCCTGGATACCCTTCCTGGGAGTTCAGGCTCCCTGACTGCCCCTGCCCTCCTTGGAGAGGTGGGCTTGGTTGTTCTCCGCTTTCTCTCTTTCTCTTTCTGAAAGGAGCCCTGGACCCAAAGGAGCAGGATGCTCCTGCCGATAAGCCCAAATCAGAACCCAGCAGAAGAGATGAAGCTCACTCCTCCTGATTCTCAGACTGGGAGCACCAGGAAATTCATCTCTCAAATGCCTAGTTCCAATGGTTTAATCCTCACCCTCCTTTTTAGGACAATGGAACACTTACTTTATATAAAACCTTTTTTTTTTTTCTTTTAGAGGCAGAGTCTCACGTTGTTCAGGCTAGAGTGCAGTGGTACAATCACGGCCCACTGCAGCCTTGACCTCCCAGGCTCCATCGATCTGCCCATCTCAGCATCCTGAGTAGCTGGGACTACAGGTGCGCACCACCCGACCCAGATAATTTTTGTATCTTTTTTTCAGAGATGGGGTCTCACTATCTTACCCAGCTGGTCTCAAACTCCTGGGCTCAAGAAACCTGCCCTCTTCAGCCTCTCAAAGTGCTGGGATTACAGGCGTGAGCCACCATATCTGGCCTATATAAGACCTTAGGAGAGTGGTTCTCTACCAGGGGTGATTTTTGTCCCCCAGAAACCATCTGGCAAAATGTCTGGAGCCATGTTTTGTTTTCCCAGCTGGACGGTGATGCTGCAAAGCACCTTCTAATGTACAGGACAGCACCCACCTCAAAGAATGATCTGGGCCCAAATGCCAAGTGCATGGTCGAGGAGCCCTGTTCACACAGTGTGTGAACACACACAATGACAAGAGGTGTGGCTGCTCTGGCTGGGAGAGGTGGGGCTGGGGAAAAGCCAAGACCCCGAAGCTCCCACCCACAGAGCTAAGCCAGGTCTTCTAGCGCTGAACCATCTTGGTTCATTTTTTAAAAGTAACTTTTGGAACATTCCATTGCTCACTTACTATTTGCTCGTTTGCCCTTTAATTCATTTATACATATATTTATCAAGTGCTGGCTGCGTGTCGGACACAGTAGGAAGCTCCAGCGTTTACCAGCTCACCATATGGAATTTAGGCACTACATTTAAGAATCTCCTCCTTGACGACATTGACGGGGTCCTATGACTGGCATGTGCAGTGTCCACTGGGGCCAAAGTTGGTGACAACATCAGCGACAACAAGAAAACATCAGTGACAACAAACACTCCGTGTGCACCTAAAGCCCTGTATTCATTTCACTTTCAAGAAGGTAAACTCAGGCCAGAAGCACCTCTACGTGCGGAGAAAACACACACAAATGAGACCTCCCTGCTTCCCTCCTAGCATCATCAAAAGATTAAATCAAAAGATGAATCGAAAGATTAAAATCCCAAATGTGGAAATCCCGAAAGCCAAATTCTGAGCGATTCGTGCGTTTTCAGCAGTGCCCAGGCTAGCTGTATCATGTTAGGCGGGATTATTACCTTGTTATTGTCTTGGAAACTAAATATGGTTTCGGGAGGTACCTATGGGTGCCAAGTCGACAATACGGTGGGAGACTTTTCAGTTATTTTCAGACTGCCTCCTCCAAGTCAGTGAACAAAAGCAGCCAGTCACTGACATCCTTGGAATTCTCCAGATGTGTCGAGCGGGCTGCCAAGAGGCCACGCTTTGGTAGGTCCAATGGGACACTGGTTCCCATGGGGCCCAGACCTACCTTTGGGGCACAGGTGTCACCTGCTTTGTCCAGAGCAATAAAGCACGTGCTCAAGAAATGCTTGTGAAGGAATGAAGAAATGAACCAACGGTACCCAGGCCTAGCATTCTTTTTAAAGTCTCTGCCCGCTGCCTGTTTTTTTATTTTTTTTTCATCCCTGCTCCCCCCACCGCCCAAAAAAAAAAAACTCATCTAACTGGTAGAACTGAGAGTGATCTAAAATCCTAGGGTTGGGCGGGATCTTAGACCTGTAATTCCCAGGGATCAGCTGCATCAGAGTCCCATCAGGAGCCTTTGACAGTGGATGACTATGCCCCTCACCCAGAACTGCTGAGTCAGTGGCATTGGAGGGAGCCCAGTGTGGCCCTGGTGACTGGAATCCACTGCCTTGGAAAACACCCAGGCCAGGGATTCTGAGCCAGGCACCCCACGGGTCCTGTGAGCCCCGGAAATTCGATACAAACTGCTGACCACATGGAGAATGTGTGCCCTCCTGGGTGCTGGGTGGGCTCGTCAGATTCTCAAAGGGCTGCTGGTCCTTAAACGTCATTATGAATCTGGGTCAAAACCTCACGTTCTACAGGGAGATGAGGGACCTGGCCTCGGCAAAGCTGGGGCTGCCCCCGATCCCACACGCTGTCCTCACGTTCACTGTTCTCCTTGGCTTGTAGGCACCTTTTCATTCTCCCGATTCCCTCTGGGGCGCCACCCTGATCCCCTCGCATCCCTGTGGCTTGGCTGGAACTACCAGGTATGGATCATAATCCTGAAAGACCAATCCCCAATGTCCCAATCCCAAACGCTGAAATCCTGAAAGCTCAAAATCCCTGAAGTCTACATGATAATGTCTAAAACCCTGAAGATCACAATTTCAAAAGACTAAAATCCCAAATGTGGAAATCCTGAAAGCTGAATTCTGAGTGATTTGTGTCTTTTCAGTGGTGCCCAGGCTAGTTGCACCATCTTGGAAACTAAATATGGTTTCAGGAGGTGCCTATGGGTGCCAAGTTGACAATAGGTGGACTTGCGGACTTAATTTTATGTGTCACCTTGACTGGATGAAGGAGCACCTAGCAAGGTGGTAAAGGATTCTTTGGGGCATGTTTGTGCAGGTTTCTCCAGAGGAGAGGGCGGTGAGTCTGAGAGGGTGGGTGCGGAAGCCCTACCCTGCCCTCAGCGTTGGTGGGCCCTGCGTAATCAGCCAGGGTTCCGGAGACAACCAATACAGAAGGCGAACTGGTCTCTCTCGGAGGGCTGGACAGGCTGTGCTTCTGCTGCCTTGGACATCAGAAATTTGATTTCATGGAAGTGCTTATCACAAGGCTGACTGTGTGTGAGCCCTGCATATGGACATGGAAAGTTTAAAACTTCCTCAGTGAATGACCAGATGTCCCATTTATGCATCTGCATTTGAGAAGGATAAAGTTTCTTGAGAGCTCAGCTCTCTGGATGACTATATACGTGGTGGTGACCCATCTGGGTTTTTGGTCAATCTTGTCAAAAGACTTAAGTTGTGCTGAGGTGGGAGGATCCCTTGAGCCCAGGAGTTCAAGGCCAGCCTAGGCAACATGACGAGACCCCGTATCTGAAAAACAAAACAAAAAACAAAGGTAGGTTGTCTGTCATGGTATTTCAGATGACCACAGTTGCAAAGCTGGGTTCCCACAATTACCAACCATAGTAATATGCATCTATACATTTCATTTTTAACCTATGTCTTGATGAAGATGATTCATCTACTCAAAACTGTAATACCCGTGTGACTGCTATCAGTGTACCTGGAGTGTTTATGCTTGTTAAACAAGCTTGTTTATGCTTGTGAAACACCTGAGTGTTTATGCTTGTGTTTATGCTTGTGGAATACGTTATTATGACCAATTTTATTGTGTAAAGTGGCCACAAAATGCTCTGTGGTGTTTTCAATATCTCAGATAAATCCCCTTTTCAAAATGTAAATAAACATCTTTTAAATAATTAAAAAATGTTTTTTTCCAGAATTATATTTTTGGGATTTCGATCTTTCAGCATTGTGATTTTCAGAATTTTAGACTTTAGGAATTTCTGACTTTTCAGGATTTTAACATCTGGGATTATGGCATTCAGGATTATGTCTTTCAGGATGATGATCGGTTCCTGAACTAGTTTGCCCCAGGGCTGCAGGGCTGGGCCTGATGGAGGCCCAGAGGTCACCAATCTGAGTGCTGGCTCCTCCTGGCCA